GGTAGGGCATGTTTGCTGGGATCTTCTTATGGTGAAGCTGAAAGATAAAAAGAAGATTTTTAATGCTGAGCTGTCTTTGGAGACAAGATAAGATTCTCCTTGAGGAGCAGCGCGTTGAGGCCATCACGTACGTCCAGGACACGTTGCTGCCTGCACACCTGGGTTGGAAAGGGCAGCTAATAAGCAGATGTTGCAGTCCAAGCTTAGTGAGAGACAAGGCTGTGCCAGCAGGCTGATGTCACGCCAGCATGACAGGATCGCAGGCACTGCCTTGGCTGTGTTCCAGGAGCCCCAGTACTTGGCTTCACCTGCCAGACATCTGCTCCAGACACAGCTACACATGCAGCAGCAGTGTGAGACCTCAGTGACAGTCGTGCGGACCAGCTGGGTCTGCCCACTCTTTGGGATGGGAGCTGACAGCACCTATGAAAGCAGCACTGAAACTGATCCTGCTAAGCCAGCATAGAGCCCCTGCCAGTGACAGAGATGCTGAAATGAGCATTGACAATAAAAAACGCAGTGACGGATTGAAGGAGTGAGACTGACTGCTGGCCATGGATAAGGAACATTTTACTAAACTGTCAAAAAGAAGGCATTTGAGGAAGGCAGCCATACATGAGTACAAATAAGACTACTGTAAAAATAATGAGTATATATGTGGGAGGAGCTGGTAGTAGCTACTTGGGTAGAAAATGGTAGAAACAGTATGAAATCAGTGAGGGAGTCAGATGACTCAAGGACAACATTTTACAGCTATCAAAGTTAAAGCAGGTAACATACTATTTTTATAGTGTACAAGGAGCAGAAATAGCCTCAATAATGTCTGAATTAAAATGGAAAAGTCAGTAACAACACAGAAAGGCAGAAATAGCGGACCTTTCTGTGCACACACAGCAACACATCCAGGACACATGCTGGATTATGAAATGATAATGGAGTATTTGTCATCACTAAAAAAAAAATCACTAAACCTTCCACCCAAGAATGGCTGAGGAAATTGGTCGGGCATCCCACATACAGAGACCCAGCTGGGCAGGCCATGCATCGGAGATTTGCAGCTCTTGCTGGCTAGAGAACTGAGGTTGTAATCAGTGCCTGAGTTCACGCAGTGAGCAGCTCTGCCAGATCTTGAAGGATCTGCCTGTAATTTAAGAGGGGGAAAAAGGTGTTTGGTTTTTTCTTTTTTTTTTTTTTTAATGCAAGTATTTTTAAGCAGGTAAAAATTACTTGTGATGGTAAGCATCTCTTAACATTTTTGCTATTTCTCTACATCAGGAACCCTGCTCTATTGCACTTTTTTGAGCAGGTAAAGCACACAAATAACGACCTGGCCAAGAAGCAAAGGCTGGGGTTAGTTTTGTATAGATGCACCACAATCAGCGCTTCCTACTGCCGCCTGTTTTCTTTCATGTTACCATTTAAGCTAGTTTAGGGGCACCTGAAACTCATTTTCTTTGCTAGGGGTCTAAGGAGACCTTTCCCAAAAACAGAGGGAGGAGCAAAAAATTGGCTAAACGCCAAAATTAACTGCAGTTCTAGTCAGGACGTCATTGCAGATCACTCCTTGTTGTTTGCAGAAGTGGAAATAGTTAAGACATAAACCCTCAGAAGTTCTAACAGTTGACAGTTACATTTCCTGAATTTGCTGTATTGTTTAAACTAAGAATTCAATAAGGACAAGGAATCTTACTTACTTTAGTAGACTTCATAGCATGGTTCATTTCATAGCAGTTCACACACCCAAAACAGTGTCTCTTGCAGTCCACATCAAAGCTGTGCTCATTTCAAGGGGCATCCCCATAGGAAAGTTAGGAGGGCAGCTTGTGACGGACAGCCCACCGAGCAAGTTCAGACTTCAGCAAGTGCTAAAAACAGCAGGGATGAAGAACTGTACAGTACCTGCAGATGTGCTTTGCATTCACATACCTGTGTGCCAATCACACAGAAAATGCCTCCTGTGGGGTGGTAGCAGGCCCTGCCTTCCCTCCGCTGTACTATACCTCCAGCACTAAAGACTTTCCCAAGGGCATGTAACATACACAGCATGTGGCAGCAGTGGCAGCTGTCTGGAGAGGGATGGGTATAGCCAAGTGTGTGTTGGACATAACGGACCTGATTTATCAATGCAGTGGAGATGAGGGAAGAGGAGCGCTGATATGGGTGGCATGTACATGTTGTTCACTAAAGCTTCTCTGTCAGCATATTAGCACAAGGGAAATAACGAACAGGCCGTGGGTCTGCTGAACAAGACCTGGGTTTGGTGTGGAATCACAAGTGGTACATTGCACAGGTATTGCAGAAAGATGAATGTGTCTTCACATACTCCTGTGAAAAGCCAATCTGTGTTGTTTTCAGTAACCTCTTTGGCAAGGTATAGGGATAAAACCTTTGCCAAGATTTAGGGATAAAACGCGAGACCTCTGCATCAGAACGATATCAGCCAGTTGGAGCAAGTCCAGAGGAGGCCACGGAGATGACCCAAGGGCTGGACCACTTCTGTTGTGGGGACAGGCTGGGAGAGTTGTGCTTGTTCAGCCTGGAGGGGAGAAGGCTCCAGGGAGACCTTATAGCACCTTCAGTACCTGAAGGGGTGTTACAAGAAAGCTGAGGGTGGAGTTTTTACAAAGACAGGTAGTGACAGGACAAGGGGTAACAAGTTTAAATTGAAAGTGGGGAGATTTAGCTAAGTGCTAAGGTGGCACTAAGTGATAGAAATAGCAAACACAGGAGAGAAAGCTGCTTAGCTTACAGTGGAGACATGAGGGTGAGCAAAAGTTCCTGACAGTTTCTTGAAATGGCAAGGCCATTAGATGTGGACAGTGTCCAAGAAGCAAAAAGGTGATACTGCAGAGCACAGTAGTTAACAGGCAGCATACAAGGAGAAGAAAGCCTCAGCTAATATCACGTGGTTTCTGGAAAAAAGACAATCAAAGGAGGCATCCCAGTTAGCCTGGCTCACCAGCCATTGACAAAACCTTTTGTACAGCACTGAAAAATGCACATTCCTGAATCAAGTGTTTGGAAAAAGCTGAACATGAGCCGGCAATGTGCACTGGCAGCCCAGAAAGCCAACCGTATCCTGGGCTGTATTAGGAGAACTGTGGCCAGCAGGTCGAGGGAGGGGATTCTGCCCCTGTACTCTGCTCTTGTGAGACCCCACCTGGAATGCTGCATCCAGCTGTGGAGCCCTCAACATAAGAAGGATATAGACCAGTTGGAGCGAGTCCAGAGGAGGTCACGAAGATGATCAGAGCGCTTGGAGCACCTCTCTATGGGGACAGGCTGAGAGAGTTGGGCTTGTTTAGCCTGGAGAAGAGAAGGATCCAGGGAGACCTTATAGCAGCATTCCAGTACCTGAAGGGGGCCTACAAGGAAGCTGGGGGGGGACTTTTTACAAGGGCCTGTAGTGACAGGACAAGGGGTAATGGGTTTAAATTGAAAGTGGGTTTAGATTATATGTCAGGAAGAAGTTTTTCATGAAGCGGGTGATGAAGCATTGGAAGAGGTTGCCCACAGAAGCTGTGGATGCCCCATCCCAGGAAGTGTTCAAGGCCAGGCTGGATGAGGCTTTGAGCAACGTGGTCTAGTGGAAGGTGTCCCTGCCCATGGCAGGGGGCTTGGAACTAGATGATCTTTAAGGTCCTTTCCCATCCAAACCATTCTGTGATTCTGTAATACGGTCTGGCATACATGTGATGCAAGATCCAGCCCTTTCCCCACCCCGCCGGCAGTCTGGGGCTCTCTGCCCTGCAGATCCATATGCTTACACAGCAGAGTCTCCTGCAGGATTTGCTTTTGGTTTGTTTCTGTGAGGAAACTGCGCATCTTCAGAATCCAGCTGCTTTCTGTTCCAGGAAAACTGCAACTCAGCCACATCTACTGACTTGAAATATGTTTTGCAGGAGTGCTCGGAGAAGCGGATGCATGGGAGCACACTCCCTACTTCTCCATTCATCTCCTACTATGATGATGAATATGATATCAAGAGGAGAGCAAACAGATTAAAAAGAAAGGCTGCAGGTACAGTGTATTTTGGAGGAGATCCCTCCTGACTTTCAGTTCTTTGAAATACTTTCTTCTCTGCTTGGTCCTTTTAGAAACAATGTGGGATTATTTACATGTGTCAGGAAAAGCTATAGGGATTTGAACAGGTAGTCTAACGGTGGCAAAAGATTTGTGCCTTTATTCATCCGTGTCTATCATGGAAATTTATTGTGTCAAAGCCACTAGGTGGGTGTTGTCAGATGATTTAATTCTAAAAAATCCTCTGACAGAAAAAATGCTATAAACTATCAAGATGAATTTGTAATTTGTTAAGATTCTAGTCTGTTGACAGAAAAAAAAAAAATGAAAAAATCTCTCTGATAGATTTGTTCTAACTGAATTCATACATACATAAGGAAAGTAGTGGTGGCTCGGGCAGTAGCTTTTAGGTTTTCTGCATGGACATTGAAATGGACTGCTGTGTTTTACAGAACTACAGGAAGCCGGCCTTCTGCCAGAACAGTCAGAGACACTGTGGCAGGAAGGAAAATATGGGGAGCACAGCCATAAGAAAAAGGGCAAGCCTTGGAAAGAACATGGGAAACATAACAAAGATGGCAAGTATTACAAGAAGATGAAGATGTCGTGGGCAGAGGAACCCAGAGAAGAAAACCACAGAAGTGGTGTTGATGTCAGCCACAATTTGGAGGAGGATTTCCCTAGGAGGTGTAAAAGGCAGGCACGTAAGGGCAGCAAAACCCATCACAAGTCCATTTTCCGTGCATTCTCAGCCAGCAAGACTGCGTATGTGCAGGAGCCTCTGGAAGGTGCTAAAAGGAAGAGGAAATGGATAAAGCAGAAAGACAATAGTCCTGCTATCAGTGACAATTTATTCCTCATAAAACAGAGGACAAAGAAGTCCAAACAGAAATCCTGGTGATGAGTAGGTAGATAGGTACCGTTGGCATTTGCTGCCTCTGGCACTGCCTTCTGTTTATCTGTGTCCCTCTCTTAGCACACTGACTTTGAGTCCATCCCTGAAGCTGGGCGGGCATGCCCAGGCACCAGTCACGCATCCCACGCCCATCTCTGTTCCTGAAAGGGAGTGCTCTGTCTGTCCTGAGCTGGGCCAGTGGGACTGGTGCCTGCCCCTGGAACGGCTGACCTGTTCAGCAGTCCCAGAATAGGCTGTAGGTTCATTTTCTTTGCTTGGGTGTGGGAGGAAGGGGTCATGCTGGGTTTGGTAGGTTTGTGTCTGCAGCAATGAGATGCTGCTCTGCTTGTCGGACCAGGGTCTGCTGCTGAGGAGCACGATGCTTTGGAGCTGACGAGAGAGAGACTTGTGTTAGGAGTTGGGATGGTGAAGCACATTCCCATGACCACTCAGATCTTCTCCCGAGTGCAGCTGGGCACTGTTTCACTTCTGTCCCTCCTGGAAGGTGCTGCGAAGTTGCTGCCTTGCACTTTGGGATGTGGCAGTCTCCTGACTGATGCTCTGTTGTGGTGTTACGGATCTGTTGCCTTCTGTGCCACAGCTTCTGGTGCTGAGTGCAGGCAACCCCTGTGCGAGCTGGTTCCCAGCTTTGCCAAGTCATCAGCATGGCATGAGTCAGCTGAGAAACGGAACAGTTTACATCTGGATTTAAACACGTCCTTGTTTCCCCGGGTATTTCTGGAGAAACAGTGGCAGAGTATGAAAAGTGTATTTGATTACAGACGTACTGTGCTAAAATTTAATAGTTTTTTTAAAGACATTTATTTTTGTACACTGGAATTAAACAAGTGTTTAATTGTTAAAAGTTTGTTAAAAGCTGTTGTTAAAAGGTGTTGTTAAAAGCTTTGTAACAATAAATGCTTCATCAGAGAAACTACCCAAATAAAACTTTAAATGAGGGATATTAAAAAATACAGATTTGTTCCACATTTTCTTCCATTACCAAGCATAATTAAAACCAGTGTCTGTTTCTCTTCCATGAGCTTAAACTGCATCACCTCTGGTAAGAGATTTTCTGGTTTTGAAACGGAAATTATCTATACTCTACTGGTTCACGACCTGCTCTACGCTACACCACTCCTGTTGCTGAGCAATTGATAGTAACTAACAGCAGAATTTCATGAAGGTACATATCCTCTCTCAATTCCTTCTAGGAAACTGGTCTTTCCATACAGTTGTGTTTCAAAATTAGGAAGTATTTGTAACCTGTGCTAATGCGGGGATATCTGAGGAGAGGAAATAGGTACATTAGGAAAAACTTCAGGACTATCATTTTGCCAGTAGTTTTCCATGCTGGTACTCCCTAAATTCATCAGCTTTTTGTCTAGCCAGGTTGCCAGTGAGAACCCTGGTGTTTTAAGGACTGTATCACCTTCTCTCGGAGGTGTTTGGAGAAGAGCTACGCCTACATAATACTTGAGAACTTAATGCCCAGTTTTGTTGAAGTGCATCCTTGATGGCAACTGAAACTAATTTTGTCTTAATTTCATTGATTACTTGATTGAAAAGTTCCTGGTGATACTGAAAAAGTAAATCACTTTTGGCCCTCATAAACAAAACCAAAAAAATATCTGTTGCTGAAAAGTCTTGCCCCTGATATTGAAACTCATCTTTCCCAGGTGCTGAACATCCCTGTTTGTTTGTCAATACCTGGTTCTATATGAACAAAAGTCTGCATAGCCTTTAGCTGAACCAGCACACAGACCAGTAGGTAGGGAAGGAGGATTGGTTGGATTAAGTACTGGTATCCAACTTTTCTGATGCATTGGATTGGTCATGTGGCCAGCAAATTTGTCACAAGGCACATAAATCTCTTCTCCAGGAGCTGCATCCTTTTTTAAAGAGCCACCAAGAGTTGAGGAGAATGTTCTTGCTCTCATGCCCCCTAATTCTTCCTTGGATAGAAGTGTTAACAATGAAAGGGACTCCCAAAGGGGCCAAATTCTCCATCTGCAAGAGATGTATGGCTCAGATGTCAGAAGTTCTTGTAACGGGTGACTGTCTGACTGCTGTCAGAGGACTGTAATCCCAGTGGATGTTCTGCCTCCAGGGATAATGAGAAAGCACATAAATACAAAAACATGGAATGGAAAACACCCCTAACCTGTGGTTAGGCAGATTTTAGGGAATCTTGCCTCCCGGAACTGTTTTCTCCACTGTTTTTCAAGCTAATACTCAGTAAGTTTGAGGGTATTTTTAACGTATAAATGACTCAGTGAAATTGTGGCCTCACCATTCTCTTCACTGTACAACATTATAGTAGGGACTGGTCTGTGCTCTGGATGGATCTGCTCTTTTGGATCTTCCATGTCGCTTATTCACTGAAGGATGTCAAGAGCAGGTAGTTTGCTACTTCACTCACCCAAAACTAAAGCATCAACAATGTCCAGGAGGCCAAGGAGAAAACTGAACTGCAGTGGCATCTAACAAGGGACAGTTCTGATCCATCACTCTGTTTGAGGTGTTTATGGGTGCCATGTAAAGTGCCATAAAAGAAACAGGATAATCACTCTTGGACGTGATGGCCAGAAGACCATTATTCTGGTGGCCAGCAGGGTAGCATCCCCATGGAGACCTTCTCTGGGTCTCCAACTGCTCTTCTTCCACCATTGTCATCCTCATTTTCAAAGGTACCTGCAGGGAAACAAAGTGTTACTTGTTCCAGCCATTATGCAATGGCTTTGCATGCTGATGCATTATTTAGCAACCTAGCCAGTGTGAGAGATGGCATCGGTAGTGGGAAAACAATGTGTGCTGGGATCACTCCGTTCTAAAAAGTCTCACCATATTAGCATTGTGGTGATTGTGCAGCTACTGTAGGAAGGCTGACATGCCAGCTTGGGGGCAGCAGTGCAACCCCTGTGCAGAAGAGGCGTGGATGCCTTTACATTGCGTGCATGCAGTGTCAAATGATGGTCGAATGCAGAATGAACCAGAGATTTAACTCAAAACAACTCTAAAGACAAGGTACCTGGCCACTGCAGTAGGTGTTAAGCCAGCCAGGAACCCTGAGCTGTTTCTCTGATGCTCAGTGGCTTCAGCCAACAATATTTTAGCCAGCAGTTCTGTGCTGGTGAGGAGAAGCCTCTCTTGTCTTGGGAAGCTTGTGGTGGAAAGTCGAGGCAAGGCATGTGGGTTGCACCAGTGCTTGGCTGCAGGTCGTGGCCTCTGCCTGTCACTAGCAGTGAATATTGCCAGCACTAGATGATATATTTGTGATGGAAACTCCTCTGGCTTTCCCCCCAGCCCCGAGTACTGCAGCTTCCCAGTCCTGCAGATAGCTAACCTGGCTTTCGCTCTGGTAGGTTGCTGCTTGTGGTTTGCAAGTAAAGGCACCAAGAAAGCAGGGTATTCGGGACCATAGGATACAAAAAAGATAAAACGGCAACATCTGAAAGCAGATGGAGGCTGGATGAAGGAACTTGCTTTAGCAACCTTGCAGGTGAAGGCTAGGATCTGACTGACTGACACGCATCATTGCAGCGCAGCTCCCAGGCTGAACATAAGGCAGGAAAGCTGCAGTAACATCACAAGATATGGCAGTGGCAGCAGCATATACAAACTGGAGCATTAGTCAGCTCAAATACTGACTTATGTCAGGCTTTGCACAGCAAGACAGAGTGAATCTGTGGTAGAGGGCCCTCTGGAGAATTTGGAGAAGAGTTGGAGGGTCCAGATGATGCAGCTAGCCAGGAAAGACTGACACACTTGAGGCTATTTTGTCCAGAGAGAGGGAAATGGGTAAATAGGGTGTGATGTGAAGTGATTTTTGTAATATAGGTGCGAGTAGGACAACAAAGCATACAAGGAGCAGCAAAAGAAGATGTCACTGAGACATGGAATCATAGAATCATAGAATGGTTTGGGTTGGAAGGGACCTTAAAAAACATCTAGTTCCAGCCCCCCTGCCATGGGCAGGGCCCCCTTCCACTAGACCAGGTTGCTCAAAGCCTCATGCAGCCTGGCCTTGAAGACAGCCAGGGATGGGACATCTACCATCCCTGAGGGATGGGGACCTGTGGATGTGTTCCATCAGGTGTCCACCATCCCTGGGGGATGGGGACCCGTGGATGTGTTCCATCAGGTCCCAT